CCCTAGACACACCCACCCCACAGTGAGTCATGGTTTTTTGGAGCTGAGAAAAGAAAGCAGCTCTCCTCTCATCTTTATTTCTCTGACTACAGAAACCACTGCTTTTATCACATGCCAAGTTTAAGACTTACTACTTAAAAATAAACAAGTAAATAAAAGACCCGGCTTCAAAGTCAGCCGCATACTCTTAAGGCTTTCTGGAAAGCTCACCTGGGTTCTGGATTTCAGCTAGTCAAAGCGAGCTTCTCTTCTTACCCCGAAGGGTTGCCTTTCTTGGGCAAGAAATACTCCCGTGCAAAGAGAATGCTACTAAATCATCATACCTTAGAGCACAAATAGAATTTTACAGCTAAAAGAGCTTTACCTTTGGAATTTTCTAACCCAGTGGTTCTCAGCAGCATTCCTAGGAAGGTGTGTTAAAGCAAATGATATCTGGGCCCCAACTCCGGAGTTTCTGACCCTCTAGGTCTGCAGTGGGACTCTAGCATGTGAAAATCTTTTTTTTTTTTTTTTTTTTTTTTTTTGAGACGGAGTTTCGCTCTCGTTGCCTAGGCTGGAGTGCAGTGGTACAGTCTTGGCTCACTGCAACCTCCGCCTCCCGGGTTCAAGCGATTCTCCTGCCTCAGCTTCCCAAGTAGCTGGGATTACAGGCACGTGCCACCACACCCAGCTAATTTTGTATTTTTAATAGAGACGGGATTTCTCCATGTTGGCCAGGCTGGTCTCAAACTCCTGACCTCAGGTGTTCCACCCACCTTAGCCTCCCAAAGTGCTGGGATTACAGGCATGAGCCACTGCGTCCGGCCTAGAATGTGAATTTCTGGCGAGTTCCCAGGTAATGCTAACGCTGTTCCAGCCCATCGCCTTCATTTTACACTGGCAGAGACTGAGATCCAGAGAGGGGAAAGTGGAGACTGTGACTCACCCAAGACCCCCGTGAACTGACAGCGAAACTGAGCCATTGAAATTTAAACCAAAGCTGAAGAGGCTCCAAAAGTAGAATTAAGAGTTTGAGTTAATCCCCTCAGTATCCCATGTTCTTTTAGATAAAGAGGCGGAGGAAGTACTGCTCACTGGTTGTGATTACTGATGACATAGTATAGCTGCTTATACTTCTGTAAACCAGGCCCCTCCTTGCTGCAGGAGTACCCTCTCTTCTCAAGCCTGCCGACTCCCATGCCCTTGTTGAAAGCAGAGCTGTAGAGCCATATGGAATTGACATCCCTCAGCTGGCCGGTTCTAATGATGCTAATCAGGAACGAGTATCAGGCACTTAAATCACAAAGTTCTCATTCACCTCCCCTCCCAACACACACACACACACACACATTTGTGGTTGCTGGTCCCTCTGCCTGGGTTGCTTCCTCCTGTGCCCCCACTGAGGAGCTCCAGATCACCTTTCAGAGTACAGGATATCATCACGTCCTCCCTGAGGTCTGCCCCAAGCCCAACATTGTTCTTTTGCTCTCCCGTTATCCCGGGTTCTCGGACCCCCTTACCGTATGACTTTGGGCTCTGACTCTCAGCTTCCTCCTTGGTAAAGTGTTGCAAACAGCATCTGCCTCACAGGGTGGTTGCTAGAATGAAACAAGATAGTCCTCTGAGAGTGCCTGGCACAGTGTGAGTGTGTGGAAACGTTAGCTCTTCCCGTCCTCATCACCACCATCATCATTTTTATTATTTCTTTCGGTTTTTTTTTTTGAGACAGAGTCTTAAAAAAAGGCTGGAGTGCAGTGGCACAGCTTCAGCTCACTGCAACCCCTGCGCCCCGGGTTCAAGCAATTCTCCTGCCTCAGCCTCCCGAGCAACTGGGATTAGAGGTGCACACCACCACGCGCGGCTAATTTTTGTATTTTTAGTAGAGACGGGGTTTCACCATGTTAGCCAAGCTGGTCTTGAACTCCTGACCTCAAGTGATCCACCCGCCTCAGCCTCCCAAAGTGCTGGGATTACAGGTGTGAGCCACCGCGCCCGGCCTATTTTTATTATCTCTACCCTCATCATACTAATATGCCACCATCCCACTCTCTTAGTGGTTGAGCATGTGTGTCTCCACAGCTAGGCTGAACTTCTTGAGAGCAGGAGCTGTGCCTTATTTCTCGAGACCCTCAGCACCTAGCACAGTGCCTGGCACATAGCAGGAAGGAAGAAGGGAGAAAAGGAAAGTAACATTTTGTGAGCAAACACCATAATAACTCTGCCAGGTATTCTGCTAGCGTCCTGGGTATTAATCTCATGGTGACCCTGTGCAGTTTTGCTATTTTTTTCCCATTTCACCAAAAGTCAGTGTAAGGGAAAGCATCGCTTTCCAGGGTTCCACAG